ATCTTTGAGGCGAACTGAAATTTATAACCTTTTAATTTTCATAATAAACTTGAAAATAATTCATACATTGTATTATAAAAATGGAAAAACACAATAAATTGTACCACATATGACATAACAACATACACGGACATTTATATTTATATTTTTCTATTTTTCTATGAATGATATTACCTTTTACTATATTTAATAATTTTTAAATCTCTATCTAGACAATAATCTTCTCTAATATCTAATTTTATACAGCATACACAAACATAAGTACTGTTCATTATTCACTACTCATGAATTTTATCTAACAAATCTTATTACATATTATAATTAAACTGTGATATTTCATTTAAATGTTAATCTGTAACTAAGAATTGCCCGTACAATTTGGTGCTTCAATTAATTTCATAAAATCGATTCACATCTTCAATTGAGAAATCAAATTAACATAACAATAAATAAATTAGAAGATGTAAAAATAGTGGAATTAAAATGTGAATTAATCAATGGGCATTGGGCAATTGGAATTAAAGAAACAACTACCTAATAATTGGGAATTTGTGATCACATTATTTGGTCAAATGTCAAAATTAAAAGAGTAAATGACTTTTTCCCATCCAAATAATGACTTAATAACACTTTTCTACCCACAAACTTTTAAAATATCACTTTACTATACAAATTTATATTCCGTTTCCGATTCTGCCATCATTGCGACCCCACACCATCATTATTTTCTTTCCCAATCATCACTCTCTAAAACCCCTCAAACCCTACTCTCGCTGATCTCGCCAGTCGTCAGTAATCGAGCGATTAGAATTTGCACAATCGCCCCTCCCAAGTCAAATTCCGATCAATCTCAACCACCAAAATCCAACCTTTCACCATCACAAGACTCATCGGCCTCCGCTCTTCAAAAGCTCCAATAGTTTGAACCGGGTTTGCTTTCTGTTTGCCGCCGGAATATAAATTTGGGTGATAAAGTGATTTTTTAGAAGCCAATGGATGGGAAAGTGTCATTAAATTATTATTTGGGTGAGAAAAAGTCGTAACTTAAATTAAAACTAATGAAAATGTACATTTTGATGTAATCCTAAAAAGCTTTTGTACTATATATTATATTTGATAAATCTGATATGAAAGATATAAATTGATTTACATATATTTCTATTGAATTTAAAAAGAACTAATGGATTTATAATTTCTAGTTACAAAAAGTTATCGATTCTTTATGTTTATCTAAAATATTTTTCTACTTACGAAAAGGTCAGTCTGCTTGAAATATTGGGTAACCTTCTGGAAGCTTCGGTGTCAAACTTAAATAAAAAAGAGCAAACGACATGTTCCCACCCGAGGTTTAACGAAATCCCAACTTCATACTAGTTGTATTTATTTCAAATTCCCATTCTTAAACTAACACGGTTAGATAATTTTGAATTCTAACTTGTGCTATTACCATACTACCCTTCACATTTTATTTCACCCCACCTAGCCACCATCACCATCACCATCCAGCCACCACCACCACCACCACCCAGCCGTCGGCATTTTCAACCTTGTTCTGGCTGATTTTTCACCCAAAATCACCTCCAACCTCTTTCTTGTAACCAAAACCCACAAAACCCTTTTATGTTGCACCCTCCAATCACCGAAAAACAACCTCCTTGGCGTTTGTTTTTTCTCCCAATTTTGCGGCCAGATTCCAACCGATTCCCTCATTGAAAACTCACCCAAAGCCACCAATCGAATCCCCTTCATCATCTGTACAAAAACCCACCCTCTCATTGGACGTCGTCACTCGCCATTTGCTGCCCAAGTTCCATTCCCACCACTGAGCGACAACTTTTTTGTGCCCTTTTTCCACCCTTTTTTTTGCCTTTTTGACCAACCCCACCCCCCCCCCCCCCCCCCCCCCCCCCCCCTCTTCTTTGTTGCTTTGTTGTGCATTCTTTGGCCACCGGTTATCATCCACCAGCTGTTTGAGGAAATTCCTCAACCAACTGCCCAGCCAAGCCAAGCCGTTTTCTGACGAGTCGAGGGTACACCAGTGAAGGGTTTTTGTGGTTTTGGTGTCGTGTTGCTAGGAGAGGTTAGAGGTAATTTTGGTTAAAAATCATTCATAACAGGCTAAAAAGGCCAGCGGCTAGGTGGTGGTGGTGGTGGTGGTGGTTGGGTGGAGTGAAATAAAATGTGAAGGGTAGTATGGTAATAACACAAGTTATAATTCAAAATTAACTAATAATATTAGTTTAAGGATGAGAGTTTGAAATAAATGCAATCAAGGGTATAAACTCGGGATTTCGTTAAACCTCATATGGGAACATGTCGCTTGCTTAATAAAAAAATAGTAATCGTATTAAGTATGCTTATAATAAGTGTCGACCGCTAGAAAATTTCTAACCAATTGCAATATGAATGACGACTTTTTGCTCAAACGGTATTTCAGTGGTATTTTCAGAGTTGTTTCTAATGTCTTTATCTTTAAACAAATAGAAAAAGGTTATGACATCGTTAAATGCCGTCACAAATTTGCCTTATGATATTCCTGTGGGCTTTGGTCTTTTATAATAAAATTTAACTTAAAATATTTAAATGTAATTCCTGCCTTATATAATAATAAATTAATTTAGAACATTAAAATGTAAAATCTAATTTAAACTGTCTCTTCTAATTTGAAAAAAAATAAAAAAAATAGATATATTAAATAATTTTTTTCATTTTTTGAAGTACATGAGAATTCGGATTAAAAAGATTTCTCAAGTAAAAACATTCTCTTTATTTGTAAATTAAATGATATCAAAAATGAAATCATTTAATTTGTTTAATTTTATTTTCCCAAAATTCTTCCTTCTAGGAAAGGTATGTAATGAATTCCAAATTAAACAAAAAAAAATAATATAAAATAAAATAAGGCATATTATGAAAGGGAAACGTTGAAAAATAAGCTATAAGATTGGACTTATTACATTGATTATCAAGTCCGCAAGTGGATAAACCAATTAGTATTCGCATCTTCAAATGGTTGAAGTTTATTCCATTTAGAAGCGTGATACTATTAAATTGAATATATATAATCTCTAACATATATAAGCACTAGGCTTGAGCATTAAGCAACTTTCTTAATTATATTTCATTAATATAGTTGATCATTCATTTCCTTTATCCCACTTGTATCTAGATTCATCACTGTTTATCACTATATTGAAGCTTAATTAAAAATCAAATGCATCCCAAATTAACTGATAAAATGGCCACATTTTTTATTAAATTGTGGTCACAAAATTAAGCTTGTCTGTCAAAATTGATTAAAAAAAAACTAAATTAAATTAAAAAAAAGAAAACAGGGTTTGAGAAAGTGTCCCGAACCCGATGTTATCCTCGTCCACTTTGTATTATTTGCAATTGCAGTTTGGTGCAAAGAGAATAGTAAAATCACATAATTATTAAATAGATTTAATCATCAATAACGTCATTAATTAAGTTTTCCACTATGCAAATATTAAAGTACTTTTTAAAGTCCATTGATTTATGTTAAAATAAAAAATAAATATTGTTAAAATTTCACAAAGAAAATTAATGTCATTATCAGATGTGATTTTATTTTATTTTTTACGTGAAAATTAAGGAATAATACTAATTTATTCAAAACAATCATATAATATGATATGGAAGTATCAATATATTCGAAGTATAAATCACATAAGGAAAGACCAATAAACAAAAATGGGTCACACCTCCCATCACATGGATATTGAACCCACAAAGTTTTATTGTCTACTCTTCTTGTCAAATTATCATTGAGGTCCTACTACTCCTCACATAATAAATAAAAATACAAGTATGAACAACTCAAATTAATATGTTGATATAAGTAAAAAGTTATAACAGCAACATTAAAATATGCAAAGCAGCTGTAAACACGTGGTAAGGTAGTAAGTGGTATAAGTACCTTGAAATGAAGTTAAGAAAACGTAACATACAAAAATGCGATTCACATGTCCATTTCCATTATTTTACTACTAATTTTATGTTTCATTTATTCTACCAATCTATATTCTCAATCCACATCAATGAGGTAACGGTAGTAATTGACGAATTTGAATTCAATTTTTCTTCCAAAAATAAAAACCGGGGGCATCAGCCATCAGAAAACTTAATCAAATCAAAAAATGAATTCTAGAATAAATACACTACTTTTTTAATAAATAAAAAGAGTAAACGACTTTTTTTCACCCGAATGATAGTTTAATAACACTTTTTCACTCAGACTTTTAAAATACTAATTTATTATCTAAATATATATTTCATTTTTTTATTTCGATATCGTTGCGACCTTACACCATTTTCTTTTCTGATCATCACTTATCAAAACCCCTCAAACTTGATCAATTGTCAGTAATCTAGCGATTAGATACGTAACTCCAAGTTAAATTTTGATCAATTCTAACCATCAAAATCTAACTTTTTACTATTAAAATATCCATCGATCTTTCTTCTTTAAAAATAGTAATAGTCTAAAACGAACTTACTCTCTATCTGCTTATTTAAATGATATTTTAAAAAAATTTATAAAAATTTGTGAATGAAAAAATATAACTAAACTATTGATGTAATAAAAACAATGGTAAATAACCCTCTCCGGATCCGAAAAGCTATTAAAATATTCATTGATATTTTTTATTTATAAACTTTAAAAACTTATTCTCCATCTACTTATTTAAATGATATTTAAAAATTATTTGTGAATGAAAAAATATCACTAAACTATTGGCGTAGTAAAAACCATGGTAATGACGCGGCCCACACGCTATAACTATCCAAATCTGAAAAAGTAAGTGGCGATCTCCAAATCCACCAGCACTAATTTATTCGTACAAAAATCATTAACTCAACACGTGTACATTAGCATTTCACCGTCCACATCAACCAAACCACCACTCAACACGCTCACTTCATGTCTTAACTCTTAACATTCTCACCCGCGGACCCGCCTAGCCCTCACGTTGCCTACATATAAAGCAACTCTCTCTTTCTCTCTCGTTTCTCAAAAAACCTCTGTGTAAACCATGTCTTCCGTACAGTTCGCTTCTCCTTCTAAGGAAACTCATGAAGACAACAACAACGAACGCCTCGATTTGCTTCTTACCAAGGCCAACGCCATGGATCCCACGCTCAATATGTCTCTCTCAACTGATACTTGTCTCAAAGCGGCCTTGTCTCTCAAACAACAGGTAAAAGGACTAATTTTGCTTGAAGCGGTAGTTTGGGTAGGTGAGGCGGTGGATGATAACGTGATTTGTGTAGGTGGTGGATGTCACGTGGCGGAGAGGCGGTGCTGAACTGAGTTCGGGTGCGGGTACGGGCATAGACCCGACGCTTTATACTGGTCTGTTGGGGACTGGTTTTACCTGCTTCAGGTCGTACGAGATAACCGGTAACCACAATGACTTGCGACTGTCCGCTCAGGTTGTTGACACGTGTGCCTCTGTCGTACGTGCCTCTAGCAGGTAATTGCATTTTCCATAATTTTATTGGAGATTTTATTAATATTAAGCAAATTTTTTTTTTTTTTTAAATTCTTATGATAATAAGATGATGCTACCACTATAATTGTTACAAAATAACTATTATGTAAATGAATTTTAGTAAATTGTATAAGCATTTTGTTTTCCTATTTAGATATTTGTTGATGAAGTTGACAAATTTTGCTAAATCTTAAAGCAAAGTGATATCCCCTGTTATGTTACTGGCAAGAATACAAGTAACAATACTGGGTAGTAGAAGGAGATTAATAGTAAAATGTAAATACATATAAAAAATATACTGAATTAATATTTTTTTGGACAAGTTTGAGCTGAAAAGTGTATCATGTGAAAGAAGTCACTGTTTGCATGATTGAACTGTGCATGCAGTTGTACGTTATGTCTTTTTGTTTGATGAAATATCTTGGAAGAATATGTGGAGTTGCAAGGTCATGTAAATGGAATAAATTAGATATAGACTGAGATTTTTTTTTTTTTTGCAATTGGGTTAAGTTTATTCGGAATCAAGTATGGTTGATGTAGTGGCGTTTTTGTAATTAAGAGGGCGATTCAAAGATAAGTTAGGTGCAAGTTTACACCAACTGTACTTTTTAGATTTGCTTGTTAAATTTATTGGAGGAAATAAGTAATTGATAATGTAATATTGATACAGGCACGTGACATTTTTATGCGGTAGAGGGAATTTATGCACTTGGTGCAGTGGTGGCTAATTACATGGGGACCATCAAAGGCTGACTTCTTCTTGAATCTCTTTCTTGAGGTATTATTTCAATCTCTCTTTATAATACCAACTACTCATTGTCAATCCCTATCTAAACAGAAGAAAACAAAATTCTGATTACATTGTGCTAATAAAAAATATATGAAAACTACTTGCTCCATGCTTTCTTGCCTATAGCAATTTTTTGTTTAGGTTGTCTCTTTTCTTGTTTTAAATGTTATTTCTCTTCACACAACCAAAAACATGTAAAAAAACGCCTTCACTATGTATCTTAAAATATGATTTATATCAACTATCATTCAACTCAAAAATATCTTCAAGTCATTTTACCCACCTTCGAAAATAAGTTTGAAAGAAATAAAACTATCCTTTACAATTTTTTCATACACTCGACCTAGCAACTCGCATTTGGCAGACAAGACCCACTACTAATGACCAATTGAGCTGTCACTCTGGTGTATGAAAAATTTGTATAAAAAAGTTGTAAGATCATGAGCTGCGACAAAATTTTCTCATACTTCTTCAAAATATCAAACAATACATTTGCAATTTTTTATATATGAAAGGATAGTTTTCAAAATAGACTATTATGAGACTTGTTAAATATGTTTTCAAATCCTATAGACTCCAATAAAGAAAAGTGTATTGCCTTGTTGAAAAGGGTTCAAATTCTATGGCCGGGAATAAAGAAAAAAGTGAAGATAACTTGATAATTTAATATATAAACTACTTATTTGATATATTTCTCATTGGATACCGTTTTATATATCATAGAAAGCAAGGAATTTAGAAATGAAATTAAAAGAATTAAATAGAATCTATATGGAGGTGAGGTACCAAAAGTTAGCTACAGGGTCGCACGGCAACTTTAGAATTATTTACCTGGAAATGTTCTAGGCTGTACTGGATTTATAATTACTATCTACCTTGTAAAAAGAAACTCCTTTAATTTACAAGAGAATTTATTTGGCTTTTCCACTTGTGGTACCAAACCTTATCTTCTTTTCTATGGTTTCTGTTCCCATTGTTTTGGAATTTGGTTGAGCTAACCGAGAAATATGGATAAAGAAAGCTACATTTTTTAATTGAGCATAAACACATTTAACCATATGTATACACCTAAAACACATTAGTACATGTGGTGAAGAGGAATGATGCAGTGGCCAAAAGAATACTAATTTATTTTGGATTTTTCTTGATCAAAATAACGTGCATTAGATGATAGCAAAATGTTTTTGTTCTTTTGTACTGTTCATTCTCTGAAGCTTACAAAAGTTCTCAAACTTGGACAAGGAACATCTATATTCTATTATTTACGTTCCATTTGATTGATTATATAGATAGCCCAGGAGAAGGCTCTCCCAGTTGGACCTGAAGAAGGCGGATTTGGAATGTCGTATGATCTCATGTATGGGCGAGCTGGATTCTTATGGGCAGCTTTGTTCATAAACAAGTATCTTGGACCAGAGACACTGCCCAATGAGCTTCTCATGCCTATTGTTGATGCTGTGTTAGCCGGGGGCAGAGCAGGGGCATCTGACAACACAGCCTGCCCCTTGATGTACAGATGGCATGGTACAAGGTACTGGGGTGCTGCCAATGGTCTTGCGGGAATCTTGCAAGTTCTACTTCACTTCCCCCTCTCTGAGGAAGATGCTGAGGATGTTAAGGGAACTTTAAGGTATATGATGAGTAATCGGTTCCCTCATAGTGGTAATTACCTGGTAAGCGAGGGAAACCCAAGAGACAAGTTGGTCCAGTGGTCTCATGGTGCAACTGGCATAGCCATCACCCTCTGCAAGGCATCTCAGGTTAGCAGTTTGCAATATTAACTTTTTTTAGTAGTCTATGCTTATGTAAGATTTGAAGTAAATGTTGGTATGACAGAATTCTATTGGCTTAACACTGCTGGACGATTCTTTAATTCTGCAGGTGTTTCCAAGTGATAGGGAGTTTCGCAATGCTGCTATAGAAGCAGGGGAAGTAGTGTGGAAGAATGGATTGGTGAAGAAGGTAGGACTCGCAGATGGAGCTGCTGGTAATGCGTATGCTTTCCTTTCCCTCTATCGTTTGACAGGAGAGAGCATATACGAGGAGAGGGCAAAGGCATTCGCAAGCTTCTTGTATCATAATGCACAGGAACTACTCACAGCGGACCATGGGCGTGGTGCTGACCATGGCTTCTCCCTTTACCAAGGACTTGCTGGTGCAGCATGCTTCTGGTTTGATCTGCTTGCACCTGCAAACTCTAGGTTCCCCGGATATGAACTTTAGGTTCAAATAAATTAAATCTGAAGTATAATAGTCTTTAGTGTAATGAAATGTGACTCTTTAACATATGTATATATAAGTGCAACTTTTAATACGATGATCTAGCTCGACCTTTGCTTATGCATATCTTCTAACCCTTGCTTATGCGATTAGGTAGCTCTGGGTAGCTTCTTCTAATTATGCCACTATTTAATGCTGCTATAGAACAGTGATATTATTGGTGATATTGTCGCCTGTTCCCATCGCCGGTGTTGGTGCTGGTTCCTGATTATGAACACGAAGTTTCGAGTATGTAAGAAGCAACCTTGCAATAAATTTCCAAGGTTTAATCATGTGGTCACTCAAAATCATGTTGTACGAGAGTTTTTGGTCAATTTGGGAGCTGCATGAACTTCAAGAATGAGGTCTGATATATTACTTCAATAGTGATAATTAACTATAGTTCTAACGTTAATACTGTGGCGGAAAACAAGGGTAATGTTGTCCTTTGCGTAGACCATGGTCTAAGACTGTGATCCAAGAGTCCATTTTCAGATTATGATCCAATGATTGATCGTGAAAGTAACCTTCCCTCGCACCGGAAGTGAATAACAAGATATATAGGTGAGTAAAGTAGTTCACAGGGCATTTTATGAATCCTTTTCAACAGCGGATGGAAATTGCCTCACATTATTAATAGGATCTCAATATTCTTTATTCCAATTTTTTTTTCTCTTGCTAAAATTAATTTGGACTTATGTCAATCTTGATATCATCTGCGACAACTCAATTAAAAGGTTGGTGATAGTGAAGAAGAGGTTTGTATCTTATAATCTATGTTCCACACCACAATGTCAAGCACCTAGTATTCTAAGTTTTTGCGTAATTACTATTATGATTCAGCCAATCCCAGCACTGGAAAACATCATCTCATAATCACCCATTTATTATATTGTTTTATTTAGTTTAACCTTATTATCTTGTAAATTCCAACTAATAGTTCCACTAGTTTAATCTTTTATTTTCATTGAAATATAAAACTAACTCCATATCACATGTCCATGGGCAATTCTTGTTTAAATTTAATAAATGCTTTAAAACAATCATTAATTCTGTGCTGCATTTTAATTTTCTGTTGTTGTACATTTGTTAGTAGTTTTATTGGGTCGTCGAAGTCGAAGGTGTGTCAATCGTATTAGTTTCAATCAAATGAAAAGTTGTTGATCTGAATTGGTTGATTGAATCCTTGGCATGCAGGAAATTTCGTTTCCAACTCAGTTTGGCTATTTCTTTGGACAAATACTACACTTTTTGTCAAATCATGATATTGGATTCATAATAACAAAGCAATTGTTTTAAAGATATTTTCATTTATTCATAATTAAATATCGTTATCAAGACTAGAAAGACGAGATCATCTCTTTCATCTTATTTATTTAGGAGTAAATATTTCTTCGATATTTTGTATATCAATTAATTAAAAGATTGCTTAAACATCATGAGGTTGGCTCTCATTGAATGGCTCATATCAACATATTAGTTATATAAGCTAAAATTTGGCCATCGACTTGTCCTATCCTATCTTATTCGGTACTCTGTCTAATAAATTAGGCATCATCTTCCCTCTTGAAAGGTATGCTAAACCTCTTATTCACATTACATTTATCAAACCTCTATTCTCATCCATCCATTAAAAGTAATAAAACCATTCATTATTGATTGTTAGATTGATAAAAAGAAAGAAAAATGCATACATTGAATGTCTTTAAATGAATTGGTAAAAGGCATTACACAATCTATATATAGCAGAATTTTCCCAAACCTCTAAATGATCATAATTTCTTCCTTTGCATTATTTGAGTGACTTTACATAAAATGGTAAAATATTGAACATGAGGCGGAAGGTGCAAAAGATGTCTTATTAGAAGATAGAAAAAAAAAGCAAGCAGTCTAAATCTGATGGCAAAGTTGAAGATAATGGGGGCATCAAATCATACAAGTAAAATCCAAATAGTATAACTCCATTATCAAAGCAATTGATAGATGTTGTGTATTATTTATTTATCACAAGTCAATCAAAGCCATTGAGAGACACAATGATGGGGTTGAAAAAGACGATGTCAATTTTAGGGATGGATAGTTTGTTAGTGGCAGTGACTCGCACAAGTGTATAGTGAGTTGGCCAAAATCCCCGATCACTAAAATACAAACTAAATCATTGTAATTTATTTGTTTTAACTTGGTTTTGTCCTATAGTTCTAGCCATGAAGATACTTATATCATATTCAAAGTTAGAGAAATTGAGAAGGCCTCTTTCATGATTCAAGAATATCATTTTAATTAGTTCTTTCAAATTTCAATATAAGATCCCTAATTGGAATTTTTTTTTTTTTTAAAGTTGAACTTGAAACAGGTTTATTTCATTTTCCTCCTTATGAGATCACTTAATATAAAATTATATGTTTTGTTTAGAAAGTATTAAATACCAGCTATTAAGGTTCTTTTATAATTTTGTAAAAAAGGTTTTTGATAATTATAAGGATTACTTTTTAAATGAAGCGGATGAATTTAATATTAAACGATTTCATGGGGAAGAACCGAGATAAACTCACTCAACAATAATTAAAATTATATATGATTTATAAACAAAGTTTGTAAGTATTATTATTATTATTTTATTTTTTAATTTTGTTCCTCTCTTTTAGTAAGGGGGTTTCACATTCCCCGCACAAGAAGTTGACACTCATTTTTTTTTTTTTTTTTTTTTTTTAAGTTTGAAAAGTGCAAGATACAATAAAGGAAATGCTTAGAAGTAACGCATATTCAATTAGTGAATAATTAAAAAAGTCTCCACCACTTTTAGTCCACCCACATGCTCTATCATCTATATAGTTATTTAAGTACTAGTGTTTCATTTAATATGTACATTTTCTCTCAATTCAATATCGTACTTTCGAAGTTGACTGTTCTCATGGAACCCCAACCCTAAATAAAAACGATCAAACTAGATCAATCAACCAAAGATCAACCTCTCTTCAATTTGGGCATGAGTTTTAGATGCATTATTTAAGCCAAAGTTTTCAATTAAAATGCGGTGAAAACGATGGATTTCAATATTGAGTGATAATGGGAAATTATCAATCTTTTATAATTATTAAATTTATATACCAAAAAAGATACAATATCAATTCCACTCTATTATTAATTCGTAACAATTCAATGGACGTTAAGTATCAAAAGAATTACAATTTCATCAAATATAGTAGAACCCAACCAAAATGTGTGGTGTAGAATAATTATTTTGCAAATAGTAAGAAGGTATTATTATAAATAGGGAGAACCACAATTTCCCACCCAAGGTTTGCCCTAAGTCATTTTCCCACCTGAAAAGTTTCAAAAAGACACTTTTCCGCCCACCTTTAAGATCCGTTAGTGAAATCTATTCATTGACATGGTATAATCAATATAAAGATAAAAACACCCTTTACCATTTGAATCCAAATGAAGATCCATACCCAAACTGCAAAAAAATTATAAAAAATTTAAAAACTAAAAAAAAAAAAATAGTTGGCATGAATCGCACCCATCGATTTCTGTCGATTCACACCTAGCCAGATGCTACCTGACCGAATCACACCTAGTCGAGTGCTAATCAATCAGAATCATTGAGTGTGATTTTGGCCAACTTAAAAGTCTTCACCTCCCTCTTGAAAAAAAAAAAATTTAAGAAGAACATAATCTTTAATATCTTCACCTCCCAACTTAAAAATCCTTAAATCATTCCTCAACTCAAAATTTAATTCAAATAAAAATAAAAATTCAGATTTGCTTCACATTTAAACAGCCCATAAACAAATAAAAAAGCTCCCGAAACCCAACAAATCCACAAGCTCAATTTATGTTTTCTTCACATTCGACAACCCACATGTGAAAGAGGTAGAGACTGTTGAGATCGTCATAGAGAATGGGGATCTCCACCGCCTCTTTCTTCCATCAAGCCACATCTGACCGGATGCGATTTAGGCTGAATCACACCTAACCAAGTGCAATTTGGCCTTAATCGCACTAGGCTAGGTTCAATTATGACTGAATTCAGTAGAATTTCCCCTCGTTTTGACTGTGGTAATGACATCACCATCATGTACCCATTTTGGCTCCAAGCTCACCAATTGGTCGGAATTGCAACCAGCCTAGTGCAATTCGGCCAGAATCGCACCTGGCCGAGTGTGAGTTTAGTTGAATTGCATCTGGCCAAATCGACACGAATTTGGTGCGATTCCATTGTCACCATCCCTTCTCCGATCCCATGAATTTCCCCAACAATTTAATACACAAAACGCAAGTCATTATCCCAAATAACAACACTATAACAAAACAAAGGATGGAAGTTAATTGCTACTTGATTTTTAGTCTTCTAGGTATGAAAGAAAATTGGGGGTGGAGGATTTTGGGGTGGTGGGGTAGGGAAGAAATGTAAAAGGGTTTGAAGTTAGGGTTTCTGTTTTTTTCCCTCCCTAAGTTTATGTATAGGGAATAAAATAACATAATTACCCTTATATAGTTTTTTGAATTTACCATTATGTCCTTTTTAGTTAAAGTTAATGGACGGATTTTTTGGGTGGCAAATGACTTAGGCCAAACCTTGGGTGGGAAATTTCGTTCTCCCTTACAAATAATTACTTTGATAACACGGCATACCAAAAGGAATTAATGGCTCAAAACCCAGGCGGCTTCAATTGTTAAAAATCTGAAAATCTAATTAACACTCGTGTAGAAATGTCCAAACAAAGCTATCTTATTGCTGGCATAGGCACCCACCATCTAATACAAGATACCAAACAAGATAATTTTCTTATGTCAATCCCTCTTCAAGTGAGAGTTATATGTCATAATGTCATATATAAAACCTCCTTTATTAAATGGTTTAAATATATAAAAATTCAATTTTCTTTGATGGAATGAAAAATGGGTTGATGTTGAAATTTTGTGAGGGTATGAATCATCTATTTAGTTTGAACTCTTAA